TGCCCCTGACCGGGGGCTCGGAGAAAAAGTCCGGCTCGGTGGTGCTCATCATGGTTGTGCGGTTTTGTGTGTGCTTCGTTCAGCACCAGAGCAGTGTCTTTTTCCGTCCTGAAGTAGGTACCCGTGAAGAGCTTCACTCAGGTTTGACAGGAGGAGAAAACCTGTGTGGCCATCAGCTATCACTTATGGCCCGCTTAGCGTAGTGATGCATCTTCTGATCTAATGTGAAATGTTCAACTGCAGATGCTTTCTGAAAGCAGCTGCTGCTTTGAATGATACAATCTGGATTAGAGAAGCTTTATGTTGTGTTAGGCTGTAAACCACAATAGGTTTATTCTATAAGTTAATGGGGATATTACGCTTCTGGTAATATTACGGTCATATTGCGCTTCTTTTATCTCCTGCTTTGACCCCATGGTGAGCATCAGTTGAGTTTATTTAGCCCTTTCCAAATATTAACAGCCCTTTTTCTAGGTAAGAAAGGTGCTTCAGGCATTCAGCCTTGGGAACAGCTGGACAAGAAAAATGAATTAAGGTTTAGATAGATGTTTTTAAAGAGGAAAAGTGTATTTGAGCCTATTGATGCTATAATGATGAGAGGACAGATTGATGGTTTTGAGACACATCTTGCAAAATATCACAGGCTGGGGCTGATTTTAATACCTCTGAGAGCCAGCCCTGGCTCTGGACTGCTTTCCATTCTTTGGAGTGTTCATTCCAGGCAGTTCTGTGTAACGGGATTTTTACAGAGCATGGAAGATGCCTCTAGGGGAAGCCTCCATTTTGGCTGCTGTGCCTGCCTCGACTAATTCTGATGCTCCTGAGTTTGCTGCCAGGTTTTTAAGATGCTGAAATGTGTTTTCAGGTTCCTGTGTGGGCTTTTTTTCACTAATAATCTGGAAAATAACTTGGCTTTTCGTGGGGTTTGGTGCTGAATAGGCTTGACTGTAGGAAGCACACATTGTTGCAAAGATGAAGGATGCAATTAAAGTTCTTTCTTAATCATTTGAGAAGATTTTAATATGAGTCAAATGAAATGCCATAGTCAAGGAACCAAAGCAGTTGAATGAATTGCCCATAAATTTCTTTGGCATGAAGTGAGTGAAATGTTTATTTCTTCTAAGCAATAGGTAATAAGAGTGTTTAAATAAAAGTACAGTATATATAATGCACTGGAGGACAATCCATGGATTAGAGTGAAATTTCAACACTCAGATAATTTATTTAGAGAGCTCCAGCTATGTTTTGATGCCCAGATGGATTAATTAATTGTAGTAGTAGAAAATACAGGGTGTAAAACGCAGGTGACTGTTGAGCTTAGTATTTCACTGTATTGTAGAGAAACTCAGAAATCTGAAAGATTCAAAATAAGGAAATGCTAATTTGCCATGCAGTACTATGGTATTTTCAGGCAGCTAGTCAAGAAAATTTGAATTGGAAGCATCAAACTTGTTTCATGCAACCAAAATATGAGAAACTTATCTACAAATAGAAGCACAAGGAGCATCCTTTTTTGTATTCAGCAAAGAGTTGGAGTATGTGTGCTGTTATGGAAGTTTATTTTTATGGAAGTACTACTCCAATGAAATTTTATAAGCGTGGAAAAGATTGTAAGTGCCCTGAAACACAATGTTTCATCTTGGACTGGCAATTACATGCATAGATTCAGTTTTGGGGGTTGTTTTAAATTTAAAAAAAAATGTTCTGGAGTAATTTGCTCTGAGTGACAAGAGAAATCGGCAAGAGAAGTATCTAAAGCCATTTCTGAGCAGTGGAAATAGCTTTATTTGTTATAACATCCTTGGTACCTGTGGCAAGGTTGGCAGAGTGCCAGCCCTGCCAGCTTTGGGGAGCTGTAACTGTGGCGTGGTTCCCATCAGAACTCAGGGATGTGGACACTTCTTGGAGAGGAGTTTTAGGAAGCCCCAGCACATCTTGTGATGTGGCATCTTCCTGCCTGCTCTGTTTCTGCACATGATATTTCCCAGGGCTTTTAAACATCCCTTCTCTTTTGTTTTTTCTGTTAAAATTACCTATCTTGAGAGATGCTCTCTTCAGCCTCAGCTTTATCCCAGATACAATATGGTTATTATATAACCTTTTCAATTTTACTTACATTTCATTACATAACCTACTATTTTCCATTGTTACTTGCATGGCAGAATAACTGCAGAACCCTGCTTGATCCGGGTTAAACTGAAAACTAGAAAATTGCTGTTTTTACATGCCTGACATTTTCCTTGCATGCTTGAGCTTAAATTTATGTTTTCTTATTTCAGAACTGTGAACCACAGCCCAGAAAGAAGAAACAATCCTCTTGGTTGAAGTTGAAGATTTGTCTCTAAGAAAAAGAAACAATCCTCTTGAAGTTGAAGATTTTTCTCTAAGAGTAAGAACAGAGCCATGCCAGTGCTTTCAGAAGACTCAGGTAACTCAGCTGCATGTTTTCAACAGAACAGTACTGAAATCTTATCACAGGTGTTTCACACATAAAATTAATTCAAATTGGAGTAAAATGTAACAGAATTAAGAGAGTTCAGCTGGAGTTTTTGGAGCAATTATCTACAGGAAAGAAGGTGAAATGTAAAAGGTGAAAATTAATAAAGTTTGTCAGGCAACAGTTTTGTAATAACCCTAGAGCACCAGAATATATTCTGATAGACCTGAGTATATTCTGATAAACCTGAATATATTCTGATAGACTTGAATGTATTCTGATATACTTTAATATATTCTGATAGACCTGAATGTATTCTGATAGACCTGAATATATTCTGATAGATTTGAATGTATTCTGATAAACCTGAATATATTCTGATAAACTCCTGTAGGCAAAGTTGGACCTCTCAGTGTAACAGTGCCTTCTACTCTGCTTATTAAAGATCAGCCCATCTAGATCTGCTGCTTGCTGGGTCATTTCTTAATATTTTCTCAACAGGAGTTGGTAAACTTTGTTAATATTCTTAGTTTTAACTTAAAATAAGTGACTTTGTTCAGAGCTGCTTACTGACTTTTCCAGTATGCTGCCCAGAGGGAAGTCACAGATATTAAATGATGCTTAGGGTTAAAGCAGGAGTGAGTTTGAGTCTCCTGGATCAAAATTCACTCTGAGGTTCATGGAGAGAATAGCCACAGGAATATATTTGAGCCCCCTCCACCTTTTCTTATTTCCTGTTTTGTTTTGGTCTTGACTTCCCAGACATGGTTCACCAGGAAAAATCTGGTGTTTGTCTGCTGCAAAATTGGAATATTGGTGATTGAAATACTTTTTAGAAAACAAGCCACAAACTTTGATTCCACCACAATGTAATCTCCACCTGTCCTTTCTTCCTCTGGTCAGGCCTGGCTTTTATTTTATAGGTGCCTCAGAGGTAGAAGGGGCAAGAGAGCACTGGGGAAGTGCAGGGGTTGTGCCCTGTGTGAGAGGCCCTGGCTGCCTCTGTGAGCTTTTGTGTGTTTGAAATTCCCTGCAGGCATCACATTGACCTGAATTTCTCTTTTTTTTCCCCATCATTTATGACATTTGACGCCATGCAAAGCCATTGAGAAGCCCATTAAAGTGCAAAGGGGGGTGTCAAGGATTCCTGGACAGCAAAACTTTTTCTTTGCCAAGAAATGTTCCTCAATTTCCCTGGCACAGGTGTGCCAGGGGGTATAGCTCAGTGGTAGAGCATTTGACTGCAGATCAAGAGGTCCCTGGTTCAACTCCAGGTGCCCCCTCT